GTAATCAAACATTTGCCTTAGACATTTTGCGACATCTATATGTTTATTTGTTTTATTTTTCCCAAAAATGAAAAGGTACCTTAGGGGGGCTTAAAGCACCGTTTTATTTTACAAAGTACCTAATAGGGTTGGTTGGCATGCAATGGGTTTTGTTTGAAAACAGTAGCCCCAAGCCAAATAATAACCCCACACCACATGAATACACATATACCTCCACATTAGTATGTGGGTACGTTATGTCACATTATGCCTTAAAGTGTCATCAAAAAAACATAGGGCAAGAGCAATTACATTAGGTGAACATACATAGATAAGAAAAGAAAAAACACATGTACAATACAGAAACTATAATCAAATATTTTCATTACACATTTTTGGGGCATTCCCATTTTTATTTTTTGTTTTATTTTGCTAAAAATAAAAAAGGTACCTGAAGGGGGGCTTAAAGCACCTTTCATTTTACAAGGTACCTTATAGGGTTGGTTGGCATGCAATGGGTGTGGTTTGCAAAACTGTAACCCCAAGCCAACTAATGACTAATAACACCACACCACCTGAATACATGCGTATTAATGCATACATATATTTATATATTTAAATATATATATATATATTTAGACAGTGATATTTAGGCACATTACGTCTTAGAGTTTCATCAAAATAATCATAGGACAAGAGCAGCACATAAATAACAAAACAAACAAGATATGTACAATACTGAAATTGCAATAAAATAATTGCTCTAGACATTTTGAGACATCTCCATTTCTATTTTTTTAATGCTATATTTTTCCAAAAAATGAAAGGTACCTTAAGATGGCTTAAAGCACCTTTCATTTTCCTAGGTACCATTGTGGAACCAGTTTTTGAACATGTTAGGCTTCGGTTTCGGGAACCAATTTTCAGACGTTTTGAGACATCTCCAGTTCTACTTTTTTAAGTTTTGTTCCATGAAAATGAAAAAGCCATGCAACATCCATTGTGAAGTATAGATATCACATTTGTTGATTGATACATTCACAAGGTCTTTGGTATTTATGTTGTAAGCTTTTCTGACATCATCATGGGCAAAACATGTTCTTCATGGAGTTACTTTTGGTGAAAGGCTGGAATTTACGTCAAGTGTACACTTAGGGATGTCTCAAAATAGGGGTGCCCCAAAGCTCTGTTTTGCACACTAAAAAACAAGGGCTTGGGGCCCCCTATTTTGAGACATCCCCAATTGCATATACCATCTGTGTAGCACACTGGTGCTCAAGATTGAAGTTACTTGTCACTTGTCGCCCCTGTTGGTAACCTCATGAAGAGGCCTGCTTGTCCACCTGATGCTATGCTTGCATGTTGCCTCCACCTGAACCAGCACCAGAATCTGTAGAACAGGCTTCTCCAGAAGAAACTGCCCCATGAGCTGACTTAGATTCTTGGATACTGCAGCACCAAAGGCAAAGGCCAAAGCCAAGGTGAAAGCAAAATCTAAAGTCAAGGCAAAGGCAACAGGTAAAGCCAAGGCTGCTGCCAGCAAAGCTCCTGGGGTTACTTCTTCGCCAATGAAAGCTCAAAAGGCAAAAGCCAAGAGCACAATGAAGAAAATCCTGACAAGACCTGATGCAGCTGAAGGCGAAAAGCCAAGGCCAAAGCGAAGACTGTCAAGGAGATGGCAGCAGGATGGAAGAAGACCAGGGATGAGCCAGTTCCTGATGACCATGCAGAAGGAGAAGATGAGGAGCCTAAAGAGGAGGATGCAACAGTTGCTGATGATGAGCATCGAAGCTACCCCAAGGTAAGGAAATGTGCCAGAATGATCAAAAGTGGCCAGGTGCCAGAAGATCTTCAGCAGCTCTATGAAGAAGAGGGCTCCAAGAATTCTCTTGAACACCAGAGGCGAGTCTGTGTTTGCTCCTGGAAATACCCAGTGTTCGAAGTTTTCAAGAAGAACTCTGAGATTTGCAACAAATCTCAGATTACTGGGTTGGCTTAGGTTGTGGACAAAATCCAGGAAAAACCAGCAAGCTTTGAATGATGCAGAAAGACGAGGTGATGTCTATCAGAAAGATGGTTACTATCATGCCAAGACAATAGCCACAGCCATTGTGCCCTGCCATGGTCTTGCATGGTGGCCAAGCCAACCTCACCAAAGATGAGAGTTCGCAGGTGAGTCAATTCATGTCGAGCAGGCCCTGGAGCCAGTTTGGCACTGGAGCTAGTTGTGGTGGTAGTGGTGGTTGTGGTAGTGGTAGCAGTGCTTCCTCTACACCAGCTGTGGTTACTTCATCCTCAGCATTGCCAAAAGCGATTTCTGATGCTCCTGTTAAACTGAGCTGGGCAAGTGTGCAGCATGACATCAAAGAAACCAAAGTGGTTCAGGAGCGACTGGGTAGAGACAAGAAAGACCAAAAATCAATGATACTTTGGAGGATGCCCTCACTGAGCTTTCAAAGACAGAATGCATGCTTGGACAATGCTTCATTGCCAAGTATGACTGGTTCATTATTGCCATAATCTTGTTTCATGCCTTTTCTGACTTTTCCTCATTTTTGCCATGCTGTTGTTTCATAAATTTTGTCAGTGACACAAACACTACCCATGATCAAATCATTTGATCCAATCCAAGTGCCAAGGGAAAAACATGAGACCCTGTCAAAATACATGAAATAAACCCATGCACATATGTCAGCAGCACGTATATAGTAACCCCAAGAGAACATCAGACACATACCATATAACAAAAGAAAATAAATAAATATATATGTAAAAACGAAGTGAAAAAAACATAACCCTTAAAAATTACCTTGAAAAAGGTTCTCAATAATTACCTTCAAAGGTAATTTTTTTTAACTAATAGTTAAAAAAAATCGACCAAAATTATCTTCAAAAAGGTAATTTTTTTAGAGTTACCTATTTTGCTCCAAATAACCTTGCCTGACCTATAGGGCACAATCACCTCACCTTCCTTGATCCTCTTGTCGTATGCCTGTGATGCTAAGGAATTTGGGGGCTTTATCTCTATTTCGATCTGGCTGCAATAGATGGAGCAGAAGTGTCACGTGGAGGGGAAACTTGCCTGCAGGGTCGGCTCATACTGTTCGAGCTTTTCCAAGCATTGGTCCAGTGTGTTACCTTTGAAGGTCATGCTGTTCAACCTCGGATCGAAGAGTATAAAAACAGGGGTTCACTTAAGGTAATATACCTTTGCTGCATCAACAGATTGTCACGATCAACCAGGGTCATGACTCACCCAGCATTTTTTGCAAGTCGTTGAAGTTGATTTCAAGTGCCTCCTTCATGGCTTCCTGGTGTTCGATACCTGTGGTCGTAATCTTCATGGCAACATCTCGTGCCTTGTTGGCCAATGCCAGGATCCTGAGATTGTCAAATGGGAAATCATTCGATGCATGATAACAGGGCCACAAGTTTTTAGACCGATAGACCGATAGACATCAAGAGATTTAAGTATTTGTTTAAACATGCATCAAAAAGTATATAGCTGAGAAACTTCGCAGAGTCGGTTTTGAATTGCTTTTCTTTGAGTTCATCACCTGTTTTCTCCTTCTTCTCCTTCTTGACTTTCACTTCTTTTTTTACTGGCATCTCAGAAGAACCAACGGAGTCCATTGACCTAGAGGCAGCTTTCGAGGTGAGAACCGCTGCTACTCCAGCCCTTACTGCCTTGTTCTGCGAAATCCTAGCTTTGGCTGAAAGACGTTGTCCTGTCTCATCAACCTCCGCATGAGTATCCTGGCCCCCGATGTAGACAGCATAGATCATTTTCCTCGGATTCATAGGGTCCTGCCAGCAGCAAAGGAAACTTTGAATGGGAGAAGAGAACCTATGGAACTGTGATGGAAGTCACTCCTATATGGGGAATCTTGGTTTGTAAGTTGGCTGGGTCCTGAGGGTGGGGCTGCCCCTTCTGAACCGAAACAACTTTCTCGTGGAGCCAAGTTTTTTCATACATAGTCTCAAGTTCGTCCAAGGGCTTCTTCAGCCAGCAGCTTTCACGTTTGCGCTTTGAAGACCTGATGTACTAGAACTGAAGGGTTTGATTTTTGAATGGCCCGCACATTCAAACTGAGCTGCAGACTCTATGTGGAAGGCTTCAACAGTGACGTTTGAAAGTGAACTGTCCAGCATGAAGCATTTGAGAAATTCAAACCTTAGTTCGAAAGAAAATAGCACCCCTGGTGTATGTGAATGTTCATGGTCTAGAGTCTCAGGATTGATGGAGCTCAGCATTCGCTGTGTAATTACAGATGGGTGGCTTGGCTTCATCTGTCGTGGCCGATTCCCACTTTGCCAAAACACCTGGTGGACAAGGTTTTTCTAATCTCCTGCCAAGAGCAGCAAATTGTCTTTTCCTTTCCTTAGGGTCCAAGTCCTGTGGTCGCTGAAGGTTCCTGATGGCCTCTTTCTGTTCCTCAGTCAAAGCTTTGATCCTTTTGCCTCCTCCGATGTTGTCCAGGCTGACACTGGAAAGAGGCCGACGAGGACCACCAGCGTTGCTCGGCCTCGATCCCGTGCCATGCAAAGGGAAAACATATAGATATCGGTTTGCCCATATGTGTATAAAGGGAAAGGGGAGACAGAGAGGGACAAATCGATATCCATATACCTATATATATATATATATATATATTAATATGTAAGTATGTATGTATGTATCTACCTATCCGTCCATCTATCTATCTATTATCTATCAATCTACCTATCTATTTGTCTATCTATGTATGTATATAAACACTATAGCTTTCGAAGCAGTCATGTGATGATTCCATTTTGTCAAACCCGAAATAAAAGAGACCGAGATTTCTCCACTGTATAATGCAGGCAAAGGGACTGTGGCCCCTGTGGTGTCGTCGGAGAAATCTGCCCTCCTGCACATGTGCGCAAAGAGCGGTTGAAAAATGTTGCTACGAGGGTTATAGAGTATAGAGTATATAGGCAGCACAACCTTTTTTTGGACCACAGTATTCGACAGCGATTGAACTCACTCGCCTGGTGGCTCAGTAGAATCTACCTTGTTCTTCCCTTTGCCCTGTCGCTTCAGTCGTCTCATTGCTGTGCACAGCGCTCTTCCCTTTACCACGATCATCATCAGGTCCACCTTTCACCGTGTGCGGTGTTGTTGGCGCAGACTTGCCACCATCACCGGCCGACGCCTCTGTGGTTGCATTGGTGGAAATAGGCCCTTTCCCCTTTGGCATGAATTCGACTTTGCCTTTCAAACCCTTGCCCTTCTCGATCTGTGTAGGCTTCCCACCTTTGGTCACAGTGTCACCTGAAGTAGGTTTCCCACCCTTGATCACAGCGTCTGAAGTAGGTTTCCCACCCTTGGTCGCTGCGTCACCTGAAGTAGGCTTCCCACCCTTTGCTACAGCATCACCCACTGAAGTAGGTTTCCCACCTTTGGTCACAGCGTCACCTGACGTAGGTTTCCCACCCTTGGTCACAGCGTCACCCACTGAAGTAGGTTTCCCACCCTTGGTCACAGCGTCACCTGGCGTAGGTTTCCCACCCTTGGTCACAGCGTCACCCACTGAAGTAGGTTTCCCACCCTTGGTCACGGCGTTTGAAGTAGGCTTCCCACCCTTGGTCACAGCGTCACCTGAAGGTTTCCCACCCTTGGTCACAGCGTCACCTGAAGGTTGGCCCTTACCCTTGTGAGGCTCGACTGAACTTTGAGCTGCGGAAACTGGTGCAGCACCCTTGGACACTGCGGAAGATTTCTGGCCCTTGCCCTTTTCTACCCCCTCGCCCTTCTCACCACTGCTCTTGGTGCCCTTCTCAACGAGACACTTGCCCTTCATGAAGGCAACACTGGGTGCATTCTTTCCAGGGTAGGCTTGACTAGCTGAAATGGCAAGAAGGGGGTCTTGTGGAGTCACCTTATAGAACTTCCCTTTGCAGCCTTTACCTTTATTCTTTCCAAGAACCTTGGGTTTCGGTTGTTTGGTGTAGCAGAAAGGTCTGCCCGAGTTCTGTCATGATTGACACACCGTAGACATCGTCACAAGAACCAGGGACGTAAATAAGGACTTTACCTTTTCCATTCATCTCACGGGCAACTTGTGCATAAGGGTCGTCTGAGCTAGATCCAGGCGTCTCCGGTTCCAGGTTTCGCTTTCGTGGATCACCCGACATGGCGAATCAAGCTAGTCTTCAAGGTGACCAAATTAAGATAACAATGGCTATACCCTACCATATAAATGCAAAAATGGGGATCTGCCCAGAGGGGCATCTCGTCAGGGTTTTAAGTAAGAAATAAGAAATGAGGGGTTTTAGGTCAGAAATGGCTATTTCGGTGCTAAAACCCCGAAACTCAAGTCACAAACAAAAAGAGTTTGGCAAATTGGAAAAATGATTTGGAATTTTGGCTATTGTGTATCTGTAGCAGACTGTAGCATCTGTGAAATGTGTTGATGAGATTTCGTACCATGGGTAGCGTGAAAGTCTTCAAACCTTTTCGGCTTGTCTGGCGAGGACTTGAGCCATACCCAAAAACAAATACGGGAACACCCCGGGAACAACCCGGGAAACCGCCGGGAACACCCCGGGAACCGCCGGGAACACCCCGGGAACCGCCGGTAACACACGGGGAATTCCGGAACATTTGCCGACTTGCGGTGATGAAACTTTTTTCCAGCCAAAACATACAGATTTATTCTGGGAAAGGGTTTGCGCGCGTTGGAAGCAATTTTTGCTGTATGGGGAGCTGTGCAGCATTCATAAGCAAACGGCGCAGACATTATGTACAAAGAATGGTTTTTGTATGTAAGATAGCTTGTGACAGCTTGTGCTGGGGCTCGCCGCTGGGGGGTTTTAAGTAAGAAATGGGGGTATCGGAGGGTTTTAGGTAAGAAATGCCCCTCTGGGTGGCAGAGGCGCGTTTCCAGACCCCCCTCGACACGTTTGGACACGTTTTTTCACCAAATTAAGTATGCAATGGCACGTTTGGACACGTTTCGACACGTTTTGGAATCCATGATTTTATTTAAAAAAGGATATTGAAAACATGTGGACCCCCTTGATCTGGCAAAGTAGGGCTGCAATGAACATGCAGGCTTGATAGTAGAAGTGTTTGCAAACTGAACCATCGTCTTCGACTTTCGAGAGCACAATGTACCTGTCTTCTCCCAGTGCCATGGTTCGATCAGGATAGTTAGTGGATTAGCTCTCCTAATCCACTGTCATCAGACTCCGACCCACTATCATGGAAGACCAGTTCAGAATCATCTAAGGGCTCCTTCGCATCGAACTGGCGAATCTGATCACGGACAAGCTTTCCGACCTGAGATCGATTGGGGCGACACGGCTGGAAGTGGAACCGGTGTGGCGCCTTCAACCAAATCAAATAGAGTATTCTAGCTTCAATATATATGTAGATTGGCATGACTGCACATGAATGGATTTCGATCCCAGAAGCCAGCAAACCCAGCTGCCCTGGATACTCTTGAGTTGCTTTCAAGTGTGGACCGCCTGCCTTAGATACATATGCATAGATGTTTCCAACATATATATATATATATATACTCGGACATTTCTCAATCTCACAATCAAGAGCTTCACATTGAGGCCAGTACACATTTCTTTTTGCCTGTGACCCGACAAGTGTAGGCCTTGGTGGTTTTGATTCCCAGGAAGCATTTGATCTTCTTCAGCTGTCGCCGACGCTCGGCTGAAAGGGTCTTCGCCAGCTGTTTGATCCATGGGGAATTCCCACACAGTTTCACCTCAAGTTTAAGAATTCAATGCCGGTTAGTGAAAGATTGGCGCCCATCAAAATAAAGAGCGACATCCATGGGAAATCACCGCGCTTGACAAAGACACATATTTTGGCGTGAAAGCACCATAGGCTCCAAGTGATGTAGTGATCATCACGCACTTCGTTTTCTTCAAAAGCTTCTTAGATCGAGGGATCACGGGCTCACAATGAGCAACTGAGTTTGAAACATGTCGGATCGACGCAAACACCATATACTGAAAACCATAGATTATTGATATATTGCTGCATCCAAGTTTCTCTCAGTGGTTTATATCGGAATAACAGGCTCGTCGATGGGTTCTCCAGGCAAAACGTCACCCCTTTCTGATGAAGATAGGTCAGACTCAGCTATCCATGTTCCAACTCAGGACACTGTGCAGATCAGGTGGCACCACTGCAGTCGTGCCCGCTGCTTTGTCACCTTCACAGATTTGGCAGAACACTGCATGCAGCGAAGGGGCAGGTAGCATACCCGTCTGCACAGTTTGTTGGCTTCTTGAACTCCGGGGAATTCCAGGTTTCCTGTTTGGGCCGAATCATAGATCCTTTTTAATGGGGACTGGAATATTGAACTTTAAATTTGGACGGTTTAGTAGATCTACCCGAAAAAGCACAAAGAAAAACAGCTTTTCAGTGAGGGGAGCCTCTCCGTTGCTCTAGATCGATAGAAGCGTTAACACATTCACCCATTGCCAGTCCTCCAGCTCGCCAATATGAACGGTGGGTAGTCCCCCGAGACCTGGGCCGAGTCGACCTTTTATTGAACACACACATACAGAGAAAAAAACTACACATCCACACACACACACATATATATATGCACATGGAAAGATATTGTATATATAAATGTATATTGTATAAATATATAACATGCATACAGCGTTCCTATTTCTATCTTGACTTGACTCCAGTCGTCTCATTGACTTGAAAATGACCACAAGTTTGCAGAGAAGGCACATAAATATCCATGACCCACAAGGCACTGCCAGCCAGACTGTTCCGCCCAGCACCATTCGCCGTGCCTAATTATGGAACTGCTTGAAGGCATCAAGGTAACAAACGCTCAAGCTGCCACACTATGTCTTGAAACTTCAAGCCCAGCTGCAAAGGCAAACAGGCACATAAACCCGATGTTGGTCAGGATATCCATACGTCGATGATAAGATACCTTGGTGGAGGAAAAACACAGCACATTCCCTCAGTATCAGGTGGTTTCTTCAACAAATGGCCACATGTATTCACTGTAGTAGTTCGAGATGAGGGTCGTCCACCGCTCTGGATTGGAGGCCAAAATAGCGACATCCAGCATCCAGCATGCCAACTCCTGATGCAACATGTCGCATCACGGGGAACTTGATATATGCTTCTAGCCCATCTAATAGATCGAAGGGGAATTGGTTCGCGAAGGAAATTCAATCGAAGGTCCTCCAAACAACTCCAGAAAATGAAGCCCTTCTCCAGGAAGCACTGGCCCAAAACCTCAGTGTCCGTGGCTACAAGGTGGCCCTGCATGCATGGCAACTTAACATGCTGCTCATTCTTCGGCATTGGGTTTGCAGTGGCTTGCATTAAAGTGCATCTTCCATCTGATGAGCAGACAATCCAGAAAGGTTTGAAACCCTAAATACTGTGCAGGCTCACCACCAAGAAACTGATGAGGAGACATGCAAGCACGGCAGCAATTTGCGAATAGCGCATTGCGACAGCGATGCGGCAGGCTCAAGAGTGGGAAAAAGGAAACTATAGGCACACATGCACACACACATATATTTATGTATAGTAAGAATAAAGAAATACATAAATAAATATATAAATTAAAGTAGTGTAGTAGTGTATATAGAGGTTTAATAATGGTAGTGCATACATACATTCAGATACATATGTGTATACATATGTACATATATACATATACACATATACATATATACATGTACATATATATATATATATATACACATACGTATATATGTACATGCAATTAAATTTATGCATATACATAGATACATGTACAGTATACAGCTGTCTTTTCTGGTCTGCTTGCAAGACTCGTTTGATTTGACGGTCGTGAAATTTGATCCAAGGCACCTGGTGATTTGATGAGCTGGCAAAGAACACCAAGACTATTGGGCTATAATGCCATGGAGAAGTTCAAGACTATTGGCTGGAACATTTGGCACTTGCTCCATGCGTATGCTGAGGCCGGGTAACGTTTTTTCCCCAGTCGTGTCGTCAAATGCATGACCAAAAGGGCTGGCATGTATCCAGCTTAGATTAGAACCCCCAAAAACCAGCACCAGCAATGGCCATCCCTGGGAAACAGATGAAAGCCGGTATAATGAAAACAGCTCACCAACAGAACAGTTTTAAGTTTTCAACATCAAAGATCACTGAGTATTGCGGCCCTGAAATCTATGCCACGCTGCTGCCAGAGCGCAATGGGTTCGGAAAAGGGCCCAAGTTTGGGCTTCACCCCACCAACGTGATTGGCAAAAGGCGTCCCATGGTTTATTTGATGAATCGATCTATTTGTCATTTCTTGTTATCAACATGGGGTTGTAAACCAAATTGTTAAATCCACCAGGCCAATTGCATGTCACGCCTATTCAAACCTCACTTGAGGAACTTACGTTTCTTCGCTTCAGACTCACCCATTTTTTCAATTTCTTCCTTGAACTCGGCGCTATTCCTCCACCTTGGATAAGGAATTTAAACACGAGTATTTGTGACAGAAGTTTTGTTCGAACATCAGGGTTACGCGTCAACAGGCTCATCAGCTTACCACAATTTTGACGAGGGGCAGCTCTTCCTGCTTCTTTTTGTTGTAGTCTTTGATCCTGAGATCGGAGCGAGGAAAATATATAAAGGTAACAAATCCAAACACACATACATGTGTTTGCCGCACATATGCCTGTATGTTTACGCGTATGAATGTATGCACATATGTGTATGTATGCATGGTTCGTTTTGATTTGGATACAGTGTTGAATGGTTTTCACTAAGATCTTCAACCCCAATTTGGATAAAACATTTTTCTTGACAAAGTCTCGTGTCGCTTTCCAGAAACTTCTGTTTCACTTTGGAGTACTCTGTCTGATCTTCCTTCGGCTTTTCACTTTTGGCCTTCGCCTTCGCCTTCGCCTTTCCCTTCGGTTCCTTCGCTTCGTTTGGTTCCTTCTGTTCCTTCTTCTTCTTGCCTTCGTTCTTCGACTTCTTCGGGGCAGCCTTGGGCAGAGGTTCTGCTTGCTTTTTTGCGGCCGTAATCAGCCTCTGCGCATGGGGGTTCACTGGCTTGTGAACTTGGTTGAGCAGGCACTGTTCGATACTTTTCTTTTGCAAATGGCTGCATTCAGGGATCTCCAGGTCAATGGTATAGGCGTCC